AACGCTTAAATTTCTTTCCGTTCTACCCACGAATACTGTAAAACACGACAATCTGGATAATGCGGACTTATTAATGAAACTAGATATTACGATGATAAAAGGTCTGGAGAAAGATACTCGAATAAAAATTCTCCAGCATTATATGTCAGTCATTGCCTCTAAAGTGTTTGCTGTTGACGAATCAATGGTGACACCAGACAGTTCGGTTGTAGATCTTGGTATGGATTCAATGTTAGCTATGACTATCATTGATCAAGTCAATAAAGACACAAAATACAGAATACCGATGGTAGTCCTGTTGAGTGAAGGAGCTACTATCAGTAAAATAGCAAGTGTTATAGAAGCCAGTTTCTGGGACGACGTTGCAGAAGATGGGGTAGAAACTCCAAAAGATAAATTAAAATCAGAAGTTTCTGATGGGGATAAAAGGGATAATACGGTGGATGAATTACAACTCACCAAAACAATTGAATCAGAATCCATATCGGAAGAGTCATCCATAAAACATGCTTCCAATGTGGACGTTTTAGCAAAAACGGAAACATGGATGGATATACAATCTGAAAAATTCCAGGAAACAAAGCTCATGGAAGATATGGTTGACGTAGAATGTAGTGTTTCTTTCATTGAAAATGATATTTACGAATTATACGAACACGTTGACAAGGCGCCATTACATTCTATTAAGGACATCATATTTAAAGGAGCGGGCGTCGATCTCGATGTAATCAAATTCTGTGCTAGACAGACCGTAGACAGACACCCTATTGCCAGGACACTGTTTAGAAAACCGGTCACCAAAAGAGACAAATCTGGTTTGGAAAGGCAAATCGTGAGTAAAGAATATCAATTAGATTTCCGAACTTTGATGGACTCGTCCAACGATGAAGAATACCGACAGCTTTCGGCGGAATCCTTCAACTTGGGGAAATACGGACCAGTTAGGTTTATCTCTTCTTCGTCTTCTTCTTCTTCTGCTTCGCAATCAGCCTTCAGAGTTCGTCTTGTTTGCCATGTGATTGGTTTCGACTCCTTTGCTTTTGGGAAATTCATTTCAGATTTCCAATCACTTGTTGTTGCGAAAGCATCTAACAGGAAAATTTCATTATCTGTTAATTATGATCATGTTTGTTTAAAGGAATTACAAGATATTGTTCACTCGAATCAGAAACAAATAGAGCTGTTTTGGAGTGGTCAAGTACCTAAATCAATTCCCAATATGAATCATAACGGCAAAAAGTTAATGTCATCCAGTAGTACGGCGTCTGGGGTAACAAATCTGAAACTTGGTGACGAACTGTCCCGGAAAATAGTTCATTTTGAACACAGCCTTGATACGACATTACTGAAATTATTTGTTTCCTTTTACCAACTTCTTTTACACATAAACACCGGAGAAGAGTTGGTACATGTTATAACAAAACACAATCTAAGACCTATGCTGTTTCAATCCAGTCATGAAATCTGTAATTTAACAAATGATATTCCACTGTTTGCAAAGATATCCACTTCTTCGACAGTTTCGGATTTTATGATAGAAAACAGTAAAACCATACAGAAATATTTTAACAACGCAATATACCCGTACTCCTTAATCGAGAAAATGGTTTCATCTGATGAATGTCGAAATAATTTAAAGAGACACTGTGTTGTACAAGAGGATGTGAAGAAAACTGTTCCTGCTAAAAGTCTTGGATTGTTATACGATACTTTATTAATAGTCAACTCTAATTCAACAACTAAATCAATTGATGTTCAGCTACAATATAGAAGTTCTATATATACCAGCAGTGAAGCTAAAATACTCTTAGATCAACTCCACCAAATTCTACTGTTGGTAACATCTAACAACAATATGATCATAAGCAATATTGGAAAGAGTGGTGTTGTTCTCAATAAAGATGCTAATTACAAAAGTATTAAAACAAATTCACCAATAAACGTAGGTGAGTATCAGTTTTAATGAAATAACTAAAACTAAAGATTTAATAAATTGAGTAAATTGATGCAGACATTTCAAGCGACGCCTTTTCTATATTGCCAGGTTTGTCCCTTGTTTCGTAACCCTCTTTCCTTTTTATACATCACAGTATATCCTTCAAATAACGATATCAGTTTTATTGTGGTTGTCATTGTAGGAAAAGAAAGAGAACAAAGCATCGATGGACACATTGCTGACATACCAGATTCTTCAATGGCGATACTTAAGTCCAAGAACACCAGTTCAGTCGGTTTACCGGAAAATACATTATCTTACAGTGAATATTATTTCTATGAACGATATGTGAATGAAAATCTAGTTGGGCATCATCTCACCAGTGAATTACATCTGAAGAAAAGGGCAGGTAAGAAAGAAGTCAGATTAGTACTCTCATTATGTAATGGTGGTCGTATATTGTCGTCACCTGCTTTCGTCAAGTTTGAGGTTTTTTTTAATAGGACCATAAGAAGAACCCTGGGTTACCCCCCTGTTGACGTTGAATCTTATGAAAGCTTGCGTGCTTGGATTGGTAATTGTGGAACTCACTAACAAATTTTGATTGGAAATAATCGCACGAACAGTTTTGGATTTGTAAAATATTCACAGGTTAGCTATAAGGTTTTCCTGAATGCATTTCAATCTTTCCTGAATGCATCCTGAATTTTGAATGCATTTAGCGGAGTCATATTTCCAGTGTTTGTCTGTGAACGTGGTACAGGACAAACGTGGAGGGGTTATTACGTAGGGTCCAAGGTAGAACCCTATGGAATTCCAGGAAATGTCGAAACTATCTCTCCGTTTTTGGTAAAATGTTGGAACTCGGGGAAACTCTTTATCAAGCACCTTTTATATAATTTTAACGTGTTGAGTGGGGTTAACTTTGGATTTCAACTCTTGAAAACTATTTCATAAAATTTTAAACAAAACTCCCCAAAATAGGAAATAGGAATAGGAAATTGTAATATTTCGATCCTCCTCACTCCACTCCCCGTTCAAGAGTACCCCCCCCCCCCCTTCCCCACACACACACATCCACCCTTTTATAGATCTTTAGGGGGAAATCTTGAGGTCATGAGAGGACGAACCCTGTTGATACTCATCCAAGTTTTCCTTTCAGAAAACCTGCTTACAAGACATTGCTGCTGTATGGGCGTATTTTCACGTTTTGCATGGCTGTCTTTATTTGTGTAACAACGATACACGACAGAGATGCATACAGCATTGCTTAAAACTTAGATTAAAACACTGCTTCATGATATGTGGATATGGGCATTATTAAAACATTTTCTTTTATTCTAAAGGATTTGAAAAATTTTGGTATAATGCTGCCCTGAAACTACTTGAACGTCATCGTACATTAAGAACAGTTTACGTCAAAGCAGAACCTGGAGAAAATTACAGATTCGGGGTAAAAAAACTGGAGAAAAATCCTGAAGATATTTTGGATTTTCAGTATGTGAAAAATTCTAAAGATGATGCCGAGTTCGATAAAATTAGTCGACAACCATTTGATCTATCCACAAGAGGGTGTCTCCGTTTTATCTTCGCCGGTGAACCAGCTGCCAGGACCAGGTTTGTTTTTCAACACGTTGGCGTTGATTTCTATACAATGGGAGTAATTCTTAAAGATCTCAGTAATATTGGACCTGCGCTTGGCTATGGTGTGGATCTTCCCCCTTCACCCAGCGAACAAACGGGACGAGCAGCTTTATATGTGGAGGCAGCCATGAAACCGATGGAGAATGAAATGAAGCAGTTTTGGCAGTCCAAAGTCAAAGCAGGTGTACCAGATATAACATTGAACAAGAACCCAAGAAACGACATGATGAAGGGAGACATCCGACCTATTATATGTACTCTACCAAACGACACGACAAATGATATTTTGAAATTAGCACCACGTCTTAAAACAACAGTCTTTAAGTTGTTCACATCTCTATATCAAATGTATTTTCACTTTGTGACAGGCCATGAAAAGGTGGTAATATCTGCTCCGCTTGATTTGAGAATGCATTTGCCCGAAACTCGATCTTTTTATGAAAATATGATGTCCGCGGTGCCACTCTTTACCATGTTTAACAACCCACATCAAACAGCCGAGGAATTTATCAGAACCAACACAATTAATATAAACCAGAGTCTTGCCAACGGTCTGTATTCAGTCGTACTTATACGAGAATTATTAGAGAACAAAGAAGAAGGGAAATGGCTGACTAGACACAGTGTTGTTGAAGAAGATATGGCCACCATAAATGATTTACAGAAGAAAAGTAAACAAGATAATGCTGTGCATCCTACTCTTGGATTTACATATGAAACCCGTCTAATGGTTTGGATAGATAAAACAACTCGTTACATCAGACTCCATCTCGAATGTCTTCCAGAATTATACACTGAAGCCGAAGCCCAGGGTCATATGAATAACATCGTTAAGTTAATGAACGCAGTGCTAAATGATAGTAATCAGACATTGTCCGAATTAAAAGAGCTGGTTGTATCTAAACAAGAGATTGTACCAAACACAATTAAAGATGATGGAGAAGAAGAAGTTGGGGGTAAATATCATTATTTGCATATTTATATTTAGTCGATTCTGGTTGAGTGTCCTCGTCACACAACAGTATTAATGTCTGATCTATAATTTACTATGAGAAATCTTTTAAAATTAAATATTTAAAAGTTACTTTTAAATTAATATGAAACGAAAACATAAATTAAATTAATTGTAATTTTAAACGGAAGTGTGACTATAAATTGTCTCTATTTTTACCTCAGTTACAATGTTAATGCAATAAGCACACACACGCACACACACACACCCACACACACATACACACACACACACACCTTCCACACACACGCACATTTGCAAATGAGATTTAAAAGCCGAACGCAAGCTCTGTAGAGCTACCTACTTGACCCCACTTAATAGATAGTTGATTCTGATTATGTTATGTAGCGTTTAATGAAGTAGATCTAAGTATATTTGACTGCAGTATATTGTAACGCTGCCATGTCAAGATCAGATATTCAGTGAAACGCCAGTAAGTTGTATCAAAATATCTGATATCAATTATCAGACTGAAGGGAAAAAAAAGGTGGTTATTTTATTCTTTATTTCAGCTCGTTTCCTTAAAGAAACCAGTTTGGGTTATGATCATTTGGTTTATGCTAAAATCACATCTATATCTGGACGCCCAGAGATTAAATGGGCTTCAATTGGTTACAGAGGAAGATCAAAACCCAAAAAATTCAAGTCTTTGCGATTGGCAGAAGTGAATAATGTTTATCTTGCTGTATATAAAGGTAGGTATGATGTATATATACCAACACTTCGTCTGTTATCAATGATGTAAACAGTACACTCATTATATGACATGTTTCTTTAAAATGATGAGGAGACGGCTGCGTAGTCATCTTAGTACGGATTAACGGCACAAATTGGGCATTGAAATAAAATGGGGTTTAACGTCCCACTGTTTTGGGCTAATGAAGACGGGCATACGTCATGCAGAGTGATATGAGGGAAAGTTTTCTTCGACAGCGGCGCTATGGCCTACTCTTATTTCGAATTCCAACTATCAAATCTTGTCTTTTGGTTTGTTATAGGTTTCCGTACAGTTGTATTTGAGACGAGGAAGAAGAAATTTATATTTAAATTTATTGATGGTGATGAGATAGCTGCCTTTACTCGGTGTTTGGAGAATAATCTAGAAGAACACCCAAGTATGACAAATGGAAATGCTGAAAGTATACATGCCTGAATATTAGTGATATGAAACATTGCAAAAATGAACTGAAATATGTCAGAGGAGGATGAAAGGGGAGCGTTTGGGTGCAAACTAGATATTTGACGATTTTTTACGATTAATCCCACGAAAAGCTATTGTAAAAAGCACATCTGACGTGTTATGATTGGTATTGTCAAGTTTCTTTCCCATTGAATACAAGAAAAGAGAAACAATCACTCCACCCCTTTACGCCCCCTCCTAACAACCAAAAAAAACCCCAAAACAAATCCCAAATTTGAGATCAAATAGAGAATAGAATATATGTGATTATCATTTCATCTTTGGTTCTATATATTTAGACACAGTATCGTAAATAACGATCTCCGGAAATGAACGAGAGCATCGCTAACGCTGCAATATACGTCCACATTCCTGCTTTGATTAATATGGTACTTTATTAAATGAAGAGAATGAAATATGAAATGGCTGTAATATGACAAGAGGCAAAGAAGGCTAGGCGTTGGGTTTGTTTTGCCAAATTTTCAGACAAAATATTAACAAAAAGTGGGTGTGACACTGCCCCAGGGGGTCGGGGCATGCACCAAAATAAATAGTTGCTGTCTTTAGGTATAAGTTATAAATATGCAAAGTTCCAAGATGACCCATTCAGAATTGCAGCCTGTAGACGATAAATACAAAAATTGGGCGTTTCTCTGCCCCTGGGGGTTGGATATGAAACAATATACATGTAAATAGGTACCACCCTGTTAATGAAATGATTGATATGCTCAATTTGAACATGCACCAAAATAAATAGTTGCTATCTTTACAGGATAAGGAATAAATATGCCAAGTTCCAAGATAATCCATTTAGAATTCCAACCTGTAGACAAAAAACACAAAAATTGGGCGTGGCTCTGCCCCTCAGGGTTAGACATGGACCAATATATATATATGTACAACCCTATGCTGGATCATTTCAAATTGGATCCAAATCTGTTAATAATTGCAACCTGTATATCATTTACAGACAAAATATCAACAAAAAGTAGTTGTGGCGCCGCCGAATGGGCAGGGCGTGGGGATGCAAGGGGGTTGGAGGAGGGGGTTGTGCGTCAACATCAATAGTTGCTGCCTTAGAGTATAAGGAATAAGTATACCAAGATAATCCATTCAGAATTGTGGCTTTCAGGCGGCCTGCGGCCTGTCGACGAAACACACGACACACAAACATTGAGCGTGGCTCTGACCCAGGGTTCAGCCTTAGGGTATAGGGAATAAGTATAAAAAAGTTTTTAAGACGATCGATTAAGAATTATGGGCTGTAGGCGACACACAGATACACAAACAGAAAATGGAAGAGGCAATGTCCCTGGGGGCTGGGCATGCACCCCAAACGATAGAGATGTTCCTTAGGGTACAAAGAATAAGTATGCAAAATTTCAAGATAATATGTTAAGAAATGCGGCCTGTAGACGACAAACAAATAGAAGAAATTGGCGTGGCTCTGCCCCTGGGGGTTGAACATGCACCAAAAACAATAGGGATTATCCTTAGGCTATAAGGAATAAGTATGTAAAGTTTCAAGATTACCATTAAGAATTGTGGGCTGTAGACGACACACAGACACACAAAAATAAAATGGGCGTTATTCAAGCGGTGAATAACGAATAACGAGGTGACTTTCTTCGTTATTGGTGAATAACGAGGTACACGCTACCTCGTTATTCGTTATTCAACTAGTTATTCAGGATTCAAATATGCAGCGAGCCATGACTAGAATGAGGGATGCCAAGTATCCCCCAGTAGTATAAAATACAACAAAACGACCTCTAGACGAAAAACAGTCCACATTGTTATTCAAGCAGCGAATAACGAGCTGTTTGTTATTCGTTTAACAAAGCACAAGGTAGGTCAGCCTGTATTATATAATATTCCATATACGATTTAAAGGCGTGCCCAAGCAGTCGTTGCCATAGGTGACTAATCGTCAATTACAAATAAAGAAATAAAATCATAGTTCTACACACATTTTTGTACTTTTATTGCATGCTTTTATATATTGTATGCTGCCGGAAAACTTCGTTTCGATGCCGGTGGAATAAAATTCTATTCTATTTCATTCACAACCCTGGTTTAGGCAAAATCCAACCAGATAAGGACTGTCTGGTGTTAGTACGTTGAATAGGGTGATCTTTCAGAAATTCCACTTTAGCTTTTCTGGTCGGTATTAGACAATACTGTAGTGGTATCAAATGTTAGCAGGTTTACATGATCATATGAATCGATCTGTAATGGAGCGAAAATAAAGACAGTCGAGGGTCGGGAGGAGCGATTTAAATGATAAATATTCATAAAGATTTTACATGAAACGTGGACTTTCAACCGCGTGTAAAAGTCGAAATGTTTCCGCCGTTTTGTCTCGGACTATAACAGATCTAGGCCCAACTCAACTCGTCTAATAATCTTAGAATCTGTATTGTCTTCTTATATAGAACAATTATGGACATACCTCCTCCCTCCTGAAAAATTGAGTGTTGAACGGAAATTTAGAAAAAAATTTTCGCCAATTTAAGCAAGCATTCAAAGTATACCTCATAGCTGTTGGCCTCAACAGTAAGCCAGAGCGCGTAAAAGCTAACACCCTACAGCATGTCATTTGCCCCGAAGCCATAAAAGTCTTCGATGGTTTCCAATGGAAGGAAGACGAAGGTAAAGCGAAATCCGAAGATATTCTGAACAAGTTTGAAGAATACTGCACACCCATGAAAAATCTCACAGTTGAAAGATTTAATTTCATAAAACCAATTGATGTTCCTACACCATGGTGTGCACCTCTATGCGTCATTCCTAAACCAACTAAAAATCCCGTCGCTGGTCAATGAGAAGTTTCTGCTGTTGATCTAACCAGATTAAATAAAGCTGTTAAACGCGAGAGACATGCGTTAGCCTCTGTTGAACATGTATTAGGGCAGAGTCCATCAAATCCCATTAACTGAAACTTCAGCCCTCCTTACTAATTTCATGAGTCCCTATGGTCGGTTATGTCATAACCGACTACCCTTTGGGATTTCCAGTGGTCCTGAACATTTCATGAAGCGCATGTCCAAAATATTACAAGGCCTTAATAGAGTAGCGTGTCTCATGGATGATATCGTTGTGTACGGGTCACCATATGCTGAGCATGACAAGAATCTTAATCTTGTTCTTTATAGACTTCGTTAACATACGCTTCGAATAAATCACAATGTCAGTGGCGCACATCGGAGATCAGATTTCTAGGTCAAGTAGTCAGTATAGATGGAATCAAAGCAGACTCAGACAAAATATCTACCTTCAAAAATTTCCAACAACCTAAAAATGTTGGTGACATAAGGCGTCTCTTGGGAATGGTCAATCAGCGGTCGAAGTTTATAGAAAACTTGGCTGCCCTTATAAAACCTTTGCGAGCTTAACTTCGTTTTGGTTCATTGTGGATATGGGACACGTCGCAGAAAGATTTATTTCAAGCAATCATAAAAGCTTTAAGCAACAGTCCAGTTTTAAGTCTATGTAATCCGGAATTGGAAACTATAGTGAGCACAGATTCATCTTCATTTGGACTTGGAGCTGTCATACTACAGTGACATTCAAGTGGATGGAAACCGGTTGATCGGTTTCTATAATAAACCGCGGTAAGCCAAGTAGATAATCTTCTAACTTTTCATATGCCCAAACTGTAGCCAAGGCGTCCTTATCAATCTGGGGGTATTTTTGCTAAAAGTTCGGAGATTATCTACTTGGCTTACCAACGTTCCTTATAGAAACCGATCACAAACCCTTAGTTTCATTATTAGGAACTAAAGATCTAACTAATCTAACATAACATACATAGATACAGACTGCTACTTATGCGACATTCCTATTCAATAGTTCATGTTACTGGTAAAAATTTATCCACAGCCGATTGTTTATCAAGAGCCCCAAGCGACTGAAATGATATTGATTTCCAGAATTCTGTTACCTCATATGTAAACGTGGTTATGTCAAATTTTCCCTCCCCCGATAAACGTTTGCAAGAGATCCTCACTGAACTGTTAAATAATGATGTGTGTAAATAACTGTATTCTTATCGTATGCATGGTTGGCCTCGAGACATTACAAATGTTAATCTTACAGTAAAACCCTATTTTCAATACTGAAATGAAATTTCTATTATTGACAATTTATAAATTTGTGGATCCAGAATCATAATCCCTCAATCCTTACAAACTGATATCTTGGGTAAAATCCATGAAGGACATCTTGGCATCACAAAGTGCCGCGAGTTAGCTAAACTTGCAGTTTGGTGGCCGGGCATCAGCAAAAATATTTGTGACTTAATCAAGAGCTGCGATGTGTGTTCTGCGAGAGCTATAAATAAGCTTGAGCCGTTGAATCCTACACACTTCCCTTTAAGACCCTGTGTAAATTTGCATCCGATCTGTTTGAATTTAAAGGGGCACATACCTGCTTGTAGAAGATTACTTTTCTCGTTATATTGAGGTAGCAAAACACACAAGCCCAACATCATATAATGTGATGACCCATCTAAATTCAATGTTTTCACATCACGGAATACATGAACTATTAATTAGTGATAATGGTACCCAATATTGCTCAGTAGAATTTGTTATGGATTTATTCATCAAACCCGATGTCCACTACATAGCTCTGGAAATGGGAAAGCTGAACGAGCTGTCAGAACCGCAAAACAACTAATGGACAATAAAGATCCATGTATAGCAATTTCCAATTACAGAAATGCATCTTTGCCTAATGGATACAGTTCTGTAGAATTACTATTGGGACGATGTCTTAATTCGAAACTATCAGTCATATCACCACAATTACAGAGTAATGGTGGATGTGAATAAGCTAAAATCAAGCGAACATAAATTACGTGAACAGAAAAGTCAATTTGATAAAAGACATTCAGGGAAAAATCTACCAAATTTTGTATGGAGGCGATTCAGTATTTTTGAAAAACAGAAATGAAAAAGGTATTGTTACAGGACAAGTTTCTTATCATTCTTATGCGATTGGAACTTTCGGCGAAATCGTTTTCACATAATTAAATTGCCAAATGCTGAAATTAACAAAACTATGGTTAATGAGAATAATTCACACTCTGGTGAGTGTTTTTTTTTAGGAAGTCAAAACGTGTGATAAAGTTACCATCCGTTTTAAAAACTAACAGATGTGTTTTCTCTTAATTTTATACCTAGGAATTGGTATTTCATAATTTTAATTTTTAATGATAGGCGGAGATAAATATATGCAAAGATTAGAATGTTTATTCTTTTTCTGTAATGTATAAATAAGGTTTTGTTCTGTAAGTTTATCCAAAAGATTAGGAGGG